TTTGAGGACTCATTTGATTAAACATTGTAAGAAGTATCCTGGACGGGTGGAAGATAAAAGGCAAAAAATCTTAAATTTTGATAAACAAGATGAGGTTTAGTAAGGAAACGTGTAGAAGTGCATGTGCTGAAATGGTAGTTATCGATGAACTGCCTTTTAGCTTTGTCGAAGGGATGGGATTTAGACACTTTTGTAGCGTAGCATGTTCTCAGTTTGATCCTCCATCTCGTATTACCATTGTTAGAGGTATTCACCAATTGTATTTGAATGCAAAATTGGAGTTGTGAAAGAACCTCACTACTCAATGTCAAAGAGTTTTACTTACTACGGACACTTGGACATCCATTCAGAATATACATTATACGTCTCTTACAGCTATGTTGACTCTAACTGGATGCTTCAGAAAAGAATTTTGAACTTTTGTGTGATACCTAATCACAAAGGTGAAACTATTGGTAAGGTTATTGAAAGTTGCTTACATGAATGGGGTTTTAATAAGGTGTTTACAATCACGGTGGACAATGCTAGTGCAAATGAAACGGCTATTACATATCTTAGGAGGAAGATGATTGGTTGGGGGCAATGATGGGTGTGTTTTAGATGGCAAATATTTGCACATGAGGTGTTGTGCACATATATTAACTTGATAGTGTGTGAGGAGTTGAAGGAAGCACATGATTCAATAGTCCTCATTTGCAATGTAGTGAAGTATGTGAAATCTTCACCGGCTAGGTATGAAAAATTGAATCAAAATAACTTGTATTTCTGGAAGTGTCTACGAGGTGGAATTCCACCTATCTGATGTTGGAGGACGCTTTGAAGTACCAAAAAGCTTTTGGATGCTTAGAAGAAGAGGATGGACATTACTTAGGCTATTTTCGAGAGGATGATGATTGTAGAAGAAGGGGTGGACTTCCTTTATTAAGTGATTGGGAAAATGCCTCAATTTTTGTAAAATTCCTTAAAAGCTTTTATGATGTGACTTTAAAATTTAGTACTTCATTACATGTTACTTCATGAAGTATGTTCACTTGAAACAGATTTCGAAGATTGGAGTTCAACATAAAATTATCTTCTAGGTGAAATGGCTAGTAACATTAAGCGAAAATTTGACAAGTACTAGGGGAACATGGACAATGTCAACCAAATGTTATTGATTGCTACCGTGCTTGATCCGAGATATGAATTAGATCATGTTCAGTATTGTTTTGTAATATTTATAATGATAGGGAATTGGATAGTACCATGACCCAGACATTGAAGGAAAATTTGATATCTACTTATGATTGGTGTGTAAGGTCTGAGGTAAGTCCTCAAAATAGTCAAATATCGATGGATTCGGATTCCGCAAGTGGGTTTTCTTTTGCAAGTCAAGTTAGTTCCACTTTTAGTGCATCTTCTACTCATATTTCCAAGTTTAAAGAACAAGCAGCAAAAGAGTTGAGATAAAAAATGACGTGGAAAGATACTTGTTAGATGCTTGTGAAGATATAGAGGACAAGGAGTTTGATGTACTTAACTGGTGGAGGTACATGGAAGTGAGTATAGAACCTTGTCCAAACTTGCAAAAGATGTTTTAGCCATTCAAGTGTTTACGGTCGTTTCAGAAAGTGCTTTCAGTACGGGATCAAGAATTTTAGATCCATTTCGTAGTTCTTTGACTGCTAGAATGGTCTAGGTTTTAGTTTGCACCAAAAATCCAAGCAAGGACAAATTTTACATGGAGGATGTGGAGTATTATAACAAATTGGATGAAGGTAATTAACTATTTCATTTAGTTTGTTAATTATATTTGTTCAATTTCATTTAGTGTTAATTCAATAATTTTTTTAGAGCTTTCGGAACCAACAGAGACGAATGAAGACTCTAGCAGCAAGGATAAATAATTCATGCTATCTCAAGTTTTTCAAGTAGGTGATTTATGTTACAACTTATGGCTTTTTGTAAGGTACCTATTGATTTTAATTCCATATTCAAATTTTTTTGTTATCCATTTCTGTCATTGATTAAAAAGGGAGTTTCACACATGTTTGCTGAAGGTCCTTTTATTTTTTTTGCATCACATTTGATACTAACTTTATAATGAAATATGATTCACGTTTCCGTTTATGATTGCAGGTGAAGGTGATTCAAACTGGATAATTGTTAATCTTGGTTTCTTGTAAATGGAAATTCGGCCAGCAAATTGTGCTTAGGATGTTATTTATATGTTAAATGATGGTTGTTGGACCAATTTTAGTTATTGAATTTGGAATGAATGTTATGGGTAATATTTGTTATTAATTTTGCTTTATTTACATGTAATGAAATAGTATTTCAAATTTCAATTTTTAAGTACTGCACGATTTAGCTCTTTCAATTTTATTGATTTCTGGTGTAAAATGGGTGTAAAATCTGGTTTATTACTTTAAGTAAAATTGTGTGTTAATAGTAGGTTATGAATTTGCCTTATTTACAGCTTATAGGTTATGGATTTGTGTTAATTGCAAAATTGTGTATTAATAACAGATCATGGATTTGTGTTAAAAAAAATAATAATTAGGTGTACTCAAATTGGGCCCAAAAGCTTTAAAGTTTTTTTTTTTCCCCTTTAAATTCATTTTAGGCAAAAGAAAAAATCAACTAACCGAACCGACCCGATCTAAACCAATTTGGTTTGGGTTGGTTCGGTTTTAGAGCTTGATTGGGTCGGTTTTGGTTGGAATTCATCCAAACCGACTTAGTCGATTTTGGTTTCGGGTTGGGGTTGAAATCGGCCAAACCCGAACCGTGCACAGACCTACTTTAAAGTACAAGATATCATTATTTAATTACATATGAACATTTGTGAACATGTATGCACTAGAATATGATGAATTATAGGTGTCCAAATCTGTATTTAAATCAAAATAAATTGACTGACTCCAAATTATCTCATTCGAAACTCAAACCTACAGATTTTCAATGTTATAATTTACAGAATATTAATTATATTTACACTGCAATTTTTAGTGCACAATATTTTAATTGTATTTAAGGTTCTTAATCTTTGCTCTTTATAACACTTGTGTTCCTAACGGTTTTTCATGCAATACCTATCCTCAAACTTTTCATTAGTTAACATATGTTGTATTTCATAATAGTTTTATGTCTGAAAGTCTGTTGAATGGACGTAAAATAACTTATTTTCCATCATATTTTTGAATTAGCCATAAGATAACGTATTAAAGAAAAGAAAGTGGTTATTGAGCACGTAAGCATCGAATTGATGATCGCTGATCCTTTGACTAAGGGCATGCCACCACTGAAATTCAAGGATCACGTAGAGAAAATGGGACTTGGTTCCACTATATAATGGTATATACATTTTTTGTATAAAACTCTTATTTATTTTGATATTTTCTCATATTTATGCGCGCCTTAATTTATTTGAGAAAATACATTTATGTCGGACCAAGAATAAGACACAAGGTATTTTCATTAAGTATTGTTACCACGCAAAGAATAAATCTTGAGAAACTAAACACATTGTAATACATGGAAGATACTACTCGTTATCAAATGATCCATCACCATGATTCATGTGTTTGTTTATTAAGAAAGACAATCGATGGGATTGAGTTGAAACATCTGAATGTTTAGACCAAGTGGGAGAATGTAAATCTCTTCACATTCCTATTGAAGTCTTTTCACATTCCTTCAACGGTCATATTGATTGTCCAACATTCATAGGGTAGTTTCAACATTTATGGAATTCAATTTCACCATCAATTGGTTGGTAACTTAAGATAAAAAGTGCAAAAAAATATTTTTCCATCGTTTCAAAAGCATGAAAATAAAATATTTTGATATAAATCATCATCAAGAACTAAAATACTGGTTAACGAAAGTTTGAAGATAAGAATTTGACCGAAAAAATGTAAGAAAATAATTATTACAATGAGTAAAGATTGAGAAGTTTAACTGCAATTGAAATGTGGTGTATGAAATTAAAATTGTGGTGGCAATATAAGTACCTTTTACAAAAATTATCTCACATAAATAAATTCAAAAATATATAAAATGAATCTAAAATGTACAAGTTGCATTATTCATGCATCTAAGGTGAATTGATTAGATCCAATTCAATTGCTTTTCGTTTCAAAGCGCGGAATAATTGGAGAAATTCTTGCTGAGTGTTTTTGGGACTCTATTTTTGCTTTAAATAACAAATAGCATTATAAACACCCAAGAATCTTTACTTATGATGATAAATAGCATTAAGGTTTTGAACATCAAAGAATCTTTACCATTGAACTTCCCAGCATTATGAATAAAAGAAGTTAAGATATTTCCTATTCATCCAAACATGGTCTAGAACTATAATGAGAGAATAATGAGAAAACATGGTTATTGAGGGCTCGTTTGGCAAAAAAATTGAAAAGTAAAAAATTGATTCTGAAACTAAAAAATTGATTTTGAATATGTTTATATAATTTTCTAGAAATGCTTTGTCGGGTTAGTAGAGCTTTTAAAGAAAGTTCTCCTAAGGTAACTTTCACATAAATTACTTCTACAAGAAACAAAAGTAAAAGTCCCTCTCAACGAACCCTATACAAAAAACCGAATAGAAAGTAGGGATTGAAAACATTTTCCGATAAAATGGAAATCAACCACACACTATTTATCAATTCATGATATCAAACCATCAACAATACTCATGAATAGTATAGCATAAAAGAACACCGCAAATACGAATTTGACAATCCTATTTTTGAAATTAACTAGCAAAGGGAAGATTAATTAAATCTGAGTTAAGGCAAAAAAATGTAACGTGTCTTTTTATTACAAGAAAAAGGATAGAACCAGAAAACACAATCCAAAATAGATACTACACTTCATAAACCAGTAAGCATGTCCTTTTCCTGTCACAATATAGTAAGAAAGTATTCACAAGAATCTCTTGCCCTGGGAGACGGAAAAAAAAAAGAAGAAGAAATGAAATTTGCTACCAATTCTGAGACCTTCACCGAGAATTAGATTCAAGTCGAACAGCAGCCGCCCCTCTTGGTATTTCCATACTCGCTAACGTTGATTGTGGTACCCTGGCCGGGAAGTGCAGTGGCAGCCGCTGCTTCCTGGGCTGCCAATGCCTTCTTGCTGATGATATGGTATATTTCTGTCAAAATAGACTGGAAAGCCTTGTCAACGTTATATGCTTCGAGCGCCGATGTTTCGAGGAACGAGAGTCCTTCCGTCTCAGCCAAAGTTTGACCATCATTATCTGCAACGGCTCTTAGATGGTTAAGATCGGATTTGTTTCCGGCCATCATGATGACAATGTTAGAGTCCGCGTGTTCTCTCAATTCCCGAAGCCACCTTTGAATGTTGTCAAAGGTTTGTCTCTTGGTTATGTCGTACACAAGGAGTGCGCCAACGGCCCCTCTGTAGTAGGCACTTGTAATGGCTCGGTACCTCTCCTGGCCTGCCGTGTCCCATATTTGGGCCTTCACTGTCTTTCCTTCTATCTGCGCCGCGTAAATTGGTAAGTTAGTCCACAATATAGTATATCCAAAATCACTAGCTGGAACAAATCAAATACTTTTACAAGCATTTTCCCAATACTACAGAACTAAGTAATTGAGTGATGAAGATTCAAAATCTGAAACAAGTTAGAGTTGTCGTAAATTATAAACGACGGACTAATGTTTGCTAAACAATATATGAAACGATGAAGCAGCAAGCAACACAACTTTAATAACCACATCTCCAAGACTTTTTTCTTTTTCATTTTTTCACATAAGAACATTAAGAAGAACATGGCAAAGCATATTACAGATATAGCATAAAACAAAAGCATAAACAAAATTAATCCATCATACATATATTTTTTTTTTTTATAACTGTGGATGTCCGGGCCAGCTTGCGCGCACCTCGACTAATTCCACGGGGCCCTGAAGTTCACGGCCGGGTACTCACCTCAGTGCCCTGAGGGGATTCGAACTGGTGACCATTGGGGAGCAAACCCAAGACCTCACCAATTGAGCAACCAGTTGCTTGACCAACAATAACTAGGCAATGTTACAACTATAGTCAAGACACAGAATTCAGGCATAAACAACAGTGCAGGCACACACACAAACATGTATCGTAAAATTTTGCAACATTCACAATACATTAATGTGGGCATATACATGTGTGCAGGCACACACAGACATATATTGTCAAACTTGCCAACATTCACAATACATTACGAAGCATTAGGATCGTACCTGCATGACCAAATGAGGAAAAACAGATCCAACTGATTGGCCCGCTTTCCTATCTGCAGTCATCAGAGTAATCTCAAAGTTCGGATGATTCACAAGCAGTCTAATTATCTGCCAAGGAGAATCATTTCATCAATCAAGCTAAACCCCATAAAATTTCAACAAAAAAGCTAAATCCACACTGCTAAAGATTAATTTTCTACACTAGTAACACAAACAAATAATTGAACACAACATAAAAAATAATAAATCAAATACGATTAAACCTCAGAACCAGTGTAACCACTTGCTCCAAGCACACCAATTCGGAAATTTTCTGATTTCTGGGCCTTGATTTCCGAAATATTCAAGCTTTTTGGTGTTGAGGAGGCCACTGAAGCTCTGACAAAAAACTTCCTGATCTTTGAATCCTTAATTTCATTCTACAAAATTATAGACGTTAATTTACTTATATAAATTACACAACCCAGATTCTCGAATTTATCATTTTTAACGATGTTTTAGCTATAAATTAAGGTTAATCAATTATTATAAAACAAAAAAACCAAATTATTTTCAGTAAAAATTCATTTTTGAGTATTTACCTGAGCCTTGAGAAAGCAACCTCCATCAAAATAATTTGAAGTAAAAGAGGCTAGAGAACCCATTTCTGAACTGTTTGTCCAGAATTCTGGGTATGCCTGCGAAATTAAAATCAAGAACGCGAGAAGAAGGTTTCAATGAGAAGGTGCAGTGATAAATGGAGAAAACATATACGTAAAGATCAGGGGTTTAGGATATAAAATCCCGTGTCGTAATCGCATTTAATTTGCTCGCACAATGTATCGGAAGCTGCAGAGTGGGAATGGGTGAAACACGATTTTAGTTAATAAAAAAGATAATTGCACTATCGGTCCCTAATTTATTGTACAAATGGCAAGCTAGTTTACAAAACCAATTTTGTAATCAACCATCATTTGTCCAATCAATCTCCAACAGAAACAGTCCAAAACTTTGTTAAACTGTTAAATAACCATCATATAGAATTTCATGAAGTGAAATGGCTTAGGTGCCGTTCTCTTTGTGTTTCAGTTTTCTGTTTTGAGTTTTGAATTCGTTTTGTGTTTTGTGTTTTGAGTGTCTGTTTTGAATTTGCTAAAAACGTGTTCTGTTTAGTGTTTTGGAAAACTATTTCTGAAAACATAAAACTAGAAAAAAAAAAAAAAAAAAAAATTCATAAAAAGAAAAAAAAAAATTTATAAAAAAAAAAAAAAAAAAAAAAAAAAAAAAAACCCACAATCAAATTCCAAAAAGGGAAAAAAGAAAAATCAGATCCAAACAATTCAGATCTATAAATCAAGATCCCAACAAAAAACCAAATCCAAAAAGAATGAAATTCATACACAAAATTAAATGGGTTTGCATTGCTTACCGTAAAGGAGAGATCGGAATGAAAAAATGGGTGTGTGAAAATTCAAAATTCAAATTAGAAGGAAGAATTTGTTTCCACAAACTGGGTTCCAAAGGAAATAAGCAGAGAAATGAAAAAAGAAAAAGAAATAAAAAGCCAATCACTATTAATAGATTTGAAACGTTATGTGCCCGGTCTTTATCTGATTTATATTTCAAAGAATTTTATACAAATAGGGACACGTAGAAGAATCTTGATGATTTTGAAAATTAATTATAGAGTGAGTTGGTGTCGGAGTTGACGAAAATGCTTGCAAGAATTTGGCTGTCAAATGGGGCCATTATGGCAGACTCTTATTCGAAAAAAATAAAAAAATAAAGCACGAAAAATAGTTTGAGGTGACTCGACCGGGTTTTCTTTGTTTTATACCAGTTTGCATTTTCTACATTATTTTACGTCGATATCAAACTGATGTCTGGTTTTTCGAATCCAAAATAGTATAATCTATAAGACAATTATTACAACTACAAAAATTACTTTTTACACCATAATTTTAAATAATTGTTTAATCTATTTCAATGTTCCTAAGTAAATTTACATTAAGAACCATCCTTTTAAATATTTTTTAAACTAATTTTTTTTTCCCACGACAACCATTAAACTTTTCTTCTTTTTTATCTAGGGGTGGGCATTTTTTTTCTGAATCAGTGGAATAGGATCGGAACCGGATAAAATCAATTGATTCGATTTCGTTTCATCTACTAAACTGATCGATTGCAGGACTATGGATCTAGAACTAGTAGGTTCTGATTCGATTCTTGGTAATATTTTGAGAACCAATAGTGAATTTGGTTTTCCCGAATTTTTCTTCTTGTTAGTTCATTGCACCAAGATATACCAAATCTTTGAAGATTGGATTCCAAAATTATCTAAATTCAAAATTTCATTTTTCATTCGCTTCTTCTTTTCTTTACATCAAAACCTAATGTGTAATCAAAATTTAAATTTAAATAATTCTATAAATTCTTTATAGATTCGTAGCTTTAATACATCTCAATCACGAAAAATATATTTTAGTTCAAAATTTTATAAAAACTCAAATTTCTCATTGTTTTCAAAATAATCAACTATGAAGAGTCAAGATGATGACTACAAACCATAATAGCGTTATAAATACACATGTATTATTCATATATATTGTTGTATGGATTTTGTTAAGAATTAATTTTATATTAGAATTTCATCATTTATGGTTTCATAGTTTATCATTTATTTCATATTTATGGGCTGATCTTGAGTTTTGATGTGTATTTTTTATTTAATTGATTTTTTAGTATTATATTACAAGAATAACAAGTGATTTCATATTCTATTTTTGTTTAAATTTAATCTGACAAGTAATTTCATACTTTATTTTTATAATTTTTAATATAAAGAACAGGACTGANTTCATACTTTATTTTTATAATTTTTAATATAAAGAACAGGACTGAACATAATCAGAAATGGGTAGTTCAGTTCTATAGTTAGTATAGTACTAATTGTTCCATTTCTACGATTTTCATTGATATTTGGTTCGATTCGATTCCCTTCAAAATCGAATCAAATCGAATCAGTTCACTCTTATTTTTGTCCATGTGGTGAATGGTGCAAGGTTTTTTTTCCCCTCAAGACCAACGATATTTTATTTGCCGTCACGAAACTTGTTCTTTTTATTATGGTGTGTTTCACTTTATATATTGATTTTATAATGCGTATGAAACATGATTGTGAAGCAAAACCGCCAATTGCACCAAGGAATACCGGGCTCAGAATGCTCAATCGACACCACAATATGAAAACCCAAACCCACGAACCAAACGGTTGCTCTATGTTTCTGCCCACAAAGGGAACTTTGAATGAAGAGTATTATAGCCACAAGTTTGCCACATAGGCCAAAGATAGGAAGAAGAAATAGTAGCACACAGCCACTTCGAAAGGCAAGGAGCACAGAGCCAAGACCGCTGTTTTTCTCTCAAAGAAAGGCTATCAATAATTCTCTTAATCACAACAGTAACGGACATGGGATATAAATAAGGATTGGGTATATGATTTTAGGGTTAAGCCCAATAGGGAATGATAAGGTCTAAATGGGAACAATAAGCAGGCTGTCAACATATAAGAGCCATCCAAATTTGTATTGGGCCATGAGCAGCACTAATTAAGATTAGGCTGCTTCTAATGGTCCAACTAGGTTATAGGGTTGGTTTA